CTACTTTTACATCCTACTAACAATGCAGTCCAGGGTAGCACCACCAAATTTTATTTACTTTGTTTTTTTGCAAACTGGTCTATCTAAATCTATTTGGGTGTATCAGCTTTTGTAACATTGACTCATGTGTGTCAACCATACTAGATGGTCAGAGGTTAGATATTAGCATTATCATAATATGCATCACCTCAATGTGTTCTTTGTTTGATGTGATGAGAATGGTTATACATGTCCATGATTAGAATATTGATGAAAACAGTACAAAAATAAATAAATAATCTTCCTTTTAACACAGTATAACAGTAATGGACTCGGGGGATAAATGTGTTATAACGTTGAAATTTAGCTTAAGATAAACTATTAGATTAATGCTAATGTTTATCTTTAGAATATCGAGATATTCACTATATTTATGTATGATAAATTTACTTTACATAAAAAATGGCTCTAAATTGTTCGGGGTTGCTTTCATATATTTCCTCGTAAAAATAACTGAGTATTGTTTAATTTATTAGTCAATTAGTGCATTATACTGTAGTTTACACATTGTTAAAAATATATGTTAAATATAATGGTAATATGGCTGAGTTGGCAGTTTTTTCATGATGATGTGTTCATGAGGCTGCAAAGATAAAGTTTAATGAGTCAGCTGCGGCCTCGGTATAACCAAATCCCTTGTTTCTGTCTATTTATTCTATAGTTTTTTGTGTTATCGTTTTACGCGCAGTGAGACTGGCATGGTAAATGCAGTGTCTGTATGCAATTTTGCTTGGACTACCCAATTTACATAATTATATAAAATAAAGGTCCTAAGCCATCATATCATTTCTCAATGTATTTGTATATAAAGAGAGTCAGGAAATCCTTATGTGTACAAGAATATTGTGTATCTAAATATTTTTCATTTGGGCGAATAGATTTAGATAATCTATTAGCTGGTAGCTCGTTAATCATACATATATCTAATTTCCATACATTGAAATTGTAATACTTATCAAACGGGTGTGAAGTCCAAATGGTGGAAGTCCAAATGTGAAATTGAAACTGGACCACGGCACCAAATAGCCTAGCTGTATGTCCCATCGTGGTTGCCACTTGGCAACCGGGCATCTCCAAAAAAGCAAGCTTAATAACCGAGCTTATTCCACATTGAGAACGTGAACCCTACAAGGTTAATTTAATATACACAGTATACCAGATAGTGGCTAAAAACCTCCTAATCCGACAGTAGTACAAGGAGTGATGGTGAAATTGGGAGATGTGAGCAGCCGGCAAAAAATACAAGATCAGTGAAGGGAAACTCGATTTTCCGCATAGTATTAGAATAATTTCGATCTGGCTATCACTGCACAAAATCGCTTAGCTTCACGCCCACAGCGCCGGGGGGGGGGGTTCTGGCAACAAATACTGACAGGGGTGTGTAGCTGGTTGTTTGAAACCCCTACCCCTTATCAGACAGAAATAAACTCAAATTGCCAACCCCCTTTTCAGACATACTGTGGATATTTTACACCCGTTTCCAGGCAGTAAGCATAAATGGCACCAAAGGAAAAGCAGGTGGACTCCCGGAGATGGACTTTGACGATCGAAATGAAGTTACAGAAAGAAAAAATCAGCTTCATTTTCCTGATTGTTGGATCACTCAAGTTCTAGAGACAGTCTTTGGAAAATATGCACACCTTTTTAGACAGAAATAATGAAAAAGAATACCCCTTTTCAGACAGACAGTGTAAAATAACATACCCCTTTTCAGACAGATATGGTGAATTTGTGAATTTGGCGGCACATGCACATATAGCACTTCAATGTGAGTAACCCCCCCCCCCCGGGGGGCAGCGTGGATTCATCTCGGCAACCGGCCACATTTGTAATTAACGCCAAAGTAGCCCCAATCCTCGCCTGCAATCCACATCTCAATATACTCTTGACTTACCACTCATTTCAAATATTCCATAGCTGTCTCATTTTACTCGAGGTGTCCGATGTGTTACGGGTGTATTGTTAAAGAAGTAACTGTTGGCATAGACGTTATCACAAACAAACTCAGTTCGAGAAATAAACAAAAGCGACTATACTAACACTGCCGCAAGTCTGCACGTGGAAGCATTGATTTGGGTCACCCAATATTATAAGGTCAATTTTTCTGTAATACTTACTATCCAACCCGAAATTGCTCTCTACACAATCTTCGTCACCTGAATTGTTAGGTTCATCGCAATCCCAATTTGTCCAATCCATTGGAGAACGATCAGTCCACACAAAATCACTGTTCTGTGTAAAAGTATTATATAGATTAGTGAAATTTCAGCAATTGTTAACGTTTTAGTGTGCAACATAGATTTCTTCTGTTATGTATTCATTATTCACTACTATGCATATAAGCTATATGTTTCCTTACCGAGTTTACGTCATTTGCTCCAATCCAATAATCGTCACCCGTTTCGACTAATCCTTGTACAAAGCCTTCTTCTGCCAATGAATGGGTTGATACCAAATAACCCCCTGCCGCTAGGTTTCCACAGTTAGTATCAGCATCGCGGAAATTATATAGATCCCGAACGTATAAATAACAGTAACCAGTATAAGACCAATATCGAAATCCACTAGGACAGAGTTCTGTAAAATTACATTATATTTTGTAACATTCGGTAAGAAAATTTCTTGTGGAAATGATTGACTTATTGGGAAATATTAGTTTCATTTTAATTGTTTATTATGTGGATCTATCACAATGCTATTCGTGTCGATTTCGCACTGAAGTAAAGCTGCTGTGATAACGATTCATCATTAACAACTACGATTAAATAATGCATATATCAGATTATTTGTTCGATGAATTATTTTTGTATCGCTAATGCAGTAACAGACAACTTACCTTGACCTAAGACAAGGTTTATACTGAGCGCAAATGCAATTATAGGAAGAACATTCATCTTCATACAAACGAATGATGTTTGCTGATTGAAAAGAAATATATAACTGCCAACAAAACAAAATAAAAGTAAATCATTGTTTATAAACCAACGACAATCTAATGAGCACAAGTCATATTTGTATCACGTACAACATATTGTGTGACTTATTCCCCTGATTGCACTTAGTCGTCATGAGAAATGGAATTTGTATGGTTGTCCCATCGTTTGTTATGTAGACATACATTTTTCATAAGTGGAAATCTTTTTACAAACACACACGTACTGTCACTAACAGTTTGAATTAACACTTGATTTGAATAAACCTGTGATTGATTTTATTTGAAATTCTCGTACAACGAGGGATACGCCTAAATTTTGCTCTACAATTAAACTAATGTCGCAATCGTATTCTGCAAGAAGTTGTAGTTGTATGTTGTATTTTTTTTGACAAATGTGAGTTCCACTACAGCAATTGCCTTTAGTGAGTATGGAGTTATAACAACAGAAGCAAATTTTTTTGGACTAAATTGTAAGAATTAATACTTGTTCTTCGGGAATAAATGTATTTTCTCAGGAATCGTAATGTGGCGATCAATCTAATCGTTTGATGGAATCCTGACACACACATCCGTTTTAAGAAAAGTAGTGTGGAATGCGATACCACATGTTTATATAATGATATATAGTGTCATCAGATCACTTTCCCTGAGTAGTTAGATATTTCTTTACATAAATGACTGTAGTAAGCGATATCGAACTAACTAACATGAAATAGTTTATTGTCACTGATAATAATTGACATTAACTATAAAATGCAATTATAAGATTCTAATTGCCCAGCCGAGGATAGAAATTTTAATTGAATAACACATTGTGTGAATGCCCCAGCTCCCTCGAGGAAAAGTTATAGAATGACTTGCTTAGTTTAATGCAATACAAAAGATAATTACTTCTCTCCGGTTATCAAACTGACGGCGATTTTTTAAAACTAACTGATAAATTCGAAGGGCACCAATTTGGGTGTGACATACATTTGTTGTCACACTAACAACATTTACATTGATTATAGGGTATTATGTGATGCGGTACAGAATAAACAGAAAAAAAAGTATAGTCGGAAACATGATACATACCTCGTATGAATGACTGTAGCACAACCGAATTACAATGATAGGAATGATTCTCATTCAAAGAATGCTCGTTATTTATGCAAATTTATCAGACACCATCTGTTCATGCGACACGCTTGATTAATAATATCGATATATGTCATCAAATTCATCAATTTAAATTGTTTAATGACATGATATTTGTCGTTGTTATCATCACTTGAGATACATACCAGCTGCATGATATGACAAGGCTAAGATATCCTTATCAAAACTAGTTGCCGTGATGGTATGTGCAATATCACATTTTTGTTGTATGCTAATTTTAGTTTACAGTTGTCTGAATTGTGTGCAAACAGAATGTAGGTTTTACAACATCCTGTTGCGCTTCAAACTTGTTTATGCGTGGCGCCAATTTAAATTGTTTCATTGGAGGTTATTTGCTATCGGTGGGGTGATGATAATTAATCAAGTAAAATGCCGGACACACATAGAGCCAATATTTCTGAGTAATCCGATATAAAACTAATCCATCCGCTATGTTTAATTGTTCGATTGTGTTCAGAGTGTACAACTAGTTGTTAGTGTATGACTCAAATGTTGATACATGCGAACGATACTAAATTACCAATGGATCGCTGTATAATTATTATCATCACTTGGGATACATACCAGCTGCATAATATGTCAAGGTTAAGATATCCTTATCAAAACTAGTTTATCATTGTGATGGTATTTGCAATAACACATTGTTTGATATGCTAATTTTAGTTTACAGTAGTCTGAATTGCGTGCAAACAGAATGTAGTTCAACTTTACTATTATTGCTGATCAGTGGAGTTGAATGGGCTTCATTTTCACTAAATCTGTAAAACAAATCACTTTTTTAATTTTGAACAATTGTTGGTACATATATAAAGTACAACATCGGTGCAGTAGATCACTATTGCCTAGTATTGTTGTAAGAGGGGATTCTGTAAGTCTAAAATCAACAATGTTACCATTTATTTTACCGTTTTCTCCCAACTAGAACGCGTTTCGCACCACAACGTAATCAAATTACGCATATAAAACATGGTTACAGACAAATATTCTAATGGAACTGACCCGACTATCTAGCCACCTTCTCCCCCGTCATTTTCCCTAGCCAACTTTTATTTATTTATTTATTTATTTATTTATTTATTTATTTATTTATTTATTTATTTATTTATTTATTTATTTATTTATTTATTTATTTATTTATTTATTTATTTATTTATTTATTTATTTATTTATTTATTTATTTATTCACATTAAAGACAAACCAAGTTCCAGTGCATTCTATTTAATGTACATTTCAAAAATAAATGGGTTATCTTGTTGCATGTGTAGCATTTGGTGATACCCACCTTGATGACAGGGTGGGTTATCTTGTTGCATGTTTACCATGTGGTGATATCTACGTTGTTGACTGGGTGGGTTATCTTGTCTCATGTTTACCATCTGATGATATCCACCTGCTTGACAGGGTTATCATGTCGCATGTGTAACATGTGATGATATTTAGTTGCTGACAGGGTGGGTTATCTTGTCGCATGTGTACCATGTGGTATTATGCACCTAGTTGACAGGGTGGGTTATCTTGTTGCATGTGCACCATGTGGTGATATCCACCATGTTGACAGGATGGGTTGTTGTGTTGCATGAGTACCATCTGATGATATTCACCTTGTTAACAGCATGGGTTATCTAGTCGTATGAATACCATGTAGTATTAACCATCACATTGACATGGTAGAGTATCTCGTTGCATGCATGCCATGTCGTGATATTCACCTTGTTGACATGGTGGGTTAACTCGTTGCATGTGTACAACGTAGTATTATTTACCTTGATGACAGGGAAGGTTATATTGTCGCATGACTACCATGTGATAATATCCACCTTGGTGACAGGGTGGGTTATCTTGTCCCATGTGTACCATCTGATGATATCCGCCTTGTTGACAGGGTGGGTTATCTTGTTGCATGTGTACCATGTGGAATTATGCACCTTGTTGACAGTGTGGCTATCTTGTTGGATGTGTGGAAAAAGGAAAGAAAGAAAGAAAGAAAGAAAGAAAGAAAGAAAGAAAGAAAGAAAGAAAGAAAGAAAGAAAGAAAGAAAGAAAGAAAGAAAGAAAGAAAGAAAGAAAGAAAGAAAGAAAGAAAGAAAGAAAGAAAGAAAGAAGGAAAGAAAGAAAGAAAGAAAGAAAGAAAGAAAGAAAGAAAGAAAGAAAGAAAGAAAAAAAAGAAAGGAAAGAAAGAAAGAAAGAAAGAAAGAAAGAAAGAAAGAAAGAAAGAAAGAAAGAAAGAAAGAAAGAAAGAAAGAAAGAAAGAAAGAAAGAAAGAAAGAAAGAAAGAAAGAAGGAAAGAAGGAAAGAAGGAAAGAAGGAAGGAAAGAAGGAAAGAAAGAAAGAAGGAAAGAAAGAAGGAAAGAAAGAAAGAAAGAAAGAAGGAAAGAAAGAAGGAAGGAAGGAAAGAAGGAAAGAAGGAAAGAAAGAAAGAAGGAAAGAAAGAAAGAAAGAAAGAAAGAAATTATATATTATGAATTATTTTAAAAATCTGTTTTAAAAAAAAAGTAATTATAAAAGTAAGTAGTTTCTCAAAAGACGTCACTGTAACACAAAAAAGAATACTATTACATTGATTTATAGACCAATGAACATTGTCATGAAATTTATGACCAACTTTTCAAAACTTATGAGTAGGCATCTACCTTAAATAACCTCTTTATCCTAAGTGCAACTGCATTAGCACAAAATCACAAAATTTAGTTTAGTTTAATTTGCATAAATTAGCATAACAATGGGATGAATAAATTTGTATAAATTAGCAAATTATTTGTGAGCATTATTAGTGGGAGTATATAACGAAATACACCATGCAAAAATTCAAATAAGTTGAAAGTTTATTTTTCACCACTGCAGAAGTATTTACAGGTAGTGTATAAGCTGCAGACATATAGCACTACAATTACAATGTCTGATCCTATTTAAATTCTAAATAATCAAGATTCGCCTGGTCTTCACATTGGCCCATTTCTCTACAACTTGGGTGAAGTTGAACTCAGAAACAGGTGGACCCTCTACTTTGATTATCATCAGCCAGTTCAAAACCTTTTCTGATAGTCTATTTCTGGATTCTGTCTTGACTCTTGCCATTGTGGAGAAACCCCTTTCACAATCTGAAATTAGGAAGAAAGAAAGAAACAGGTTATAAATAATTCATGCAGTCTGATCCATGAATTATTATGTAACTGGTTGGTTGAGTGTAATAAGCACAAGTATACAGTTGTTTCAATTGATACTTACCGACAGTTGATACTGGGAGAACCATCTTGCTCAAGTTGGGAAACAAGTCTTTGTAGACTGAAGTGAGCATCTTGAGAATGTCATGATATGGCTTGTTCTTATTCCTCATCATTGTCTCTTTGAATAGATCCCACTCAGATAAAACCACTTCTTCATCAATGAACATAATGTTCACACAGTATCCGTGAAAATAAAATGTATTTAAACAAATTAAGCACTTTGAAACATGTTACCAGTTTTGCAACACCAAACATCTACACCTGTCAACAATGATAATGAAATAAATTTATACTAACCTCCAGTTTCTCTTTCTGACTGGTATCTTCTATAATGTCCTCATGACTGGTTGTGATGAAACTAGAATCAAACACTGTGAAACTGCTTACTAACTTCACATCTGGGTATCTTTCCGCAAGATTTGATGTCACACTGTCTATATATTTATAGTATATCTAGAAAATAGAATGAAAGAAAAACATCTCTTCAAGGTAGACACTGCACGTTGATGTGATAGCCATTGCACTGCTTTGGCTTCCTTCAGTTTTAGCTGAGGATCTCCAAGTATTTTCTGTAAAAGTTACAAAAATAAATAAAATTAATATTAAAGAAGTCATTGAAAATGACACAGTCCCTGTTAAATTTTTGAAAGTTCTCTTCGAGCTCGTCATGTTAAAGCGGAGGGGTTGTCGCGAGCGTGTCCTTGAAACTTGAGTTCCAAGTGGCGTATACAACAGATTGTTTATTTACATCAAAACACTTGTTCCGTGTAGTAGTAATATGGCCAAAAATAAAAACAGCCATTATTCGACCATCTTTGATCTGATTATGAAACACACTGATATGTATGATGTATGTGCCAAATACGGATGAAAATGGTACATAAATTGTGGAAATAAAGTAGTAAGGCCAAAAAGTCAGATGGCTGTCAATCGGCCATCCTTGACCTGATTTTGAAACAAATTGTTATGGACATGCATCCTAACATGTATAAAGTACATGTATGTGCCAAATTTGAATGAAAACTGACAAAGCACATCCAAGATACTGCATAAAAAAACAAACAAGATGCCGACCAGTCGACCATCTTTGATCCAATTGCGAAATAAATCGTCATGGACATGTATAATCTATGTACCAAGTTTAAATGACAACTGACAAAGCATGTCCAAAATACAACATTTTCAAAAAACAAGATGGCTGCCAGTCGGCCATTTTGAATCGAATCGCTAAACAACTGCATGTGCATATGTACCACATAAGGTACTAGGCACATGCAAAGAATGAACGGAATTGGTCCACAGGATTCTGAAATATGACTCTGGACAGACTAACGGACGGACACACGAACGGACGGAAGGACAGACAAACTCAGGAACTCACAGACGGTCGGGGACATGTATCCTAACATGTATGATCTATATGTACTAAATTTGAATGAAAACTGTCAAAGCATGTCCAAAATACAACATTTTCAAAAAACAAGATGCCTGCCAGTCGGCCATCTTTGATCCAATTGTGAAATAAATCGTCATGGACATGTATCCTAACATGTATAATCTATGTACCAAGTTTAAATGAAAACTGACAAAGCATGTCCAAAATACAACATTTTCAAAAAACAAGATGGCTGCCAGTCGGCCATTTTGAATCGAATCGCTAAACCACTGCATGTGCATATGTCCCACATAAAGTACTAGACACATGCACAGAATGAACGAAATCGGTCCAAGGGATTCTGAGATATGACTCTGGACGAACGCACAGACGTACGGACGGAGACCGAATTACAAGTCCCCGTTTTCGGACTTCGTCTGAACGGGGACTAT